ATGAACTCTATCTATGTCCCTTCTCTGCTTAAAAATTTCAATGGGCTCCCATTCCACATTCTGGAAAATAAAACAATTTTACTTGGCCTGAGTTAACTCAACAGCTTCATTGTGAATGCTCTATCACTTGTGCATTAGCCTCTTGTCACATAAAATACCCCAAGCTCCTTCACATAGATTTGCTTTTCACTCTTACTTCTGCCTAGAATGCCCCTCTGCTGTCTTCAGCCTAGATGCCCGCTGAGGTCTGGTGCCAGGATCATATTGTTGGAGAAACTTTCCCCAACTTCTCCAAGCAGGAGAAGTTGCTTTCTTCTGACGGCTCCCGTCCTGCAGCTGCCATGGTCAGATCACATCAGAAAAGGTTATACATGGATTGGTCTCTCCCACCATCCTAAGAGCTCTTTGAAGGCAGGAACTGTATTTTTTTCACCTTAATCTCTGTGATGCCATCCCAGGGGCTGACAGTAATAATTACTAACATCCATTAAACATTTATTATATACCAGACACATTATGAATGCATTACTTGTTCAGGTGAAGATAACCCTTTGTGTTATTACCCCTGTTTTAGTGAAGGGGAGACTGAGCTATAGAGAATTTATCACTTGTTAAAAGTCATGCAACTATAATTGCCAGAACCTACATAGGAATCTAAGTTGTCCAATTGCAGAGATTTTGCTCTTAGCTCTCTATGGTATTATGCATCCTACCCAGCATAGATCTCTGATGATTACATGTTTGTGATACGAATGACTGAATGAATGTGTCACAGGCTGGAGCATGGCCTTGTCCTCATAGCCCCTCCCCAGTGAAGCCATGCCCCTGTCCAGTTTGGCATTTGGTTCCTGAAGTCCTGGCTTGCAGTCTCCCTCGCCTTCATTGAAGCAGAAGGAAGCATCTGGACTGGTGGCCTTGATGGCTGATATCTCTATTTCTCCCCCGCCCCACTCTAGGCAGCCTGACCTTAGGAGCCCTTGGTTCCAGCTTGTTGGTGACCTGATACTTCAGCTTTGGGGCCCAGGAGCCCTGAGCCTCTGGGCTGGCCCAGCAGCAAGGGCCTGATGTACATTCCACACCTGTCAGCACTCCAGGTCTGGCCACTGATGGGACCAGGCTGGGCGGGGGGGTGCAGATTATCTTGGCTCTTCCTGAAGAACTTTATCAGGTGTCCATGGCAACAAAGCCCCAAGTAGATGCTGAGCGGAGAGTTGGCCCTCTGCCTCACGGGGCCAAGGATACAGTGACCTTTGAGTTACCACTTGCTGACAGCGCTGGGAATACTGGCATGTAGCTAGCCCAAAGATGAGCTGTCCCCTTTCACTGGAGGCTACCGGAACTCAGTATTTTCTGCCAACTACTATATGCCTGGCATTATTTTGGGTGTTATAAACACAGAGGGCTCCCTTGGCCCTTGAAAGACTTTGAGACTAATGGCAATGGTGTCCGCATAAACGAATGACTGTAACATATTTTTATCAGGACTACATTATACATACATGTGCTTTGGAGAGATTGAAAAGGGAGTTTTTAATTCTGCCAGCCAATTAAGTGGTGTTTGGGTAAGCTGCCAAAGGAAGACAGGGTTCGGTGTAAAATAAAGTGAGTACAATTGCAGAGTGGTGGGCACAAAATAGTGTAAGCACAAAGAGTGTCAGTGAAATCAGATAGTATTGTCCATAGCAACAGCAGTAGAACTCCTAGATCTAGAAGAATGGGTGAGTGATCTTAAGGTACAGGAATCAGGAAAGGGCTTAAGAAGAGTAAATGTTCTTCCTAAGGAATCCATTTAGAAAAAGTATTTTAAAAAGCAGTTTTCAAGTTGGAAAATTGGGAAGACACTGAACGTTAGCTCAGGAGATTTGGTTATAGTTTCAGTTGGATAAACTATTCCTGTGCATTGGGCATATTCTTTCTCCCCATTTTTATAATTAGTAAATGCAGAAAAATGGACTACATGTTATCAAGTGTCCTTTTTTTTTTAAGATTTTATTAATTTATTTGACAGAGAGAGATAGTGAGAACAGGAACACAAGTAGGGAGAGTGGGAGAGGGAGAAGCAGGCTTCCCGCCGAGCAGGGAGCCCGATGCGGGGCTTGATCCCAGAACCCCGGGATCACGACCTGAGCCGAAGGCAGCTGCTTAACCGACTGAGCCACCCAGGTGCCCCTCAAGTGTCCTTCTAATAGCAGAATCTACAATCTTCACAATGTCTTAATCAAAATGTCTTGTAGTCAATAAAACATTGCTAGACATGTATAGAAAAGGGAAAAATGTATTTCATGGTCAAGAGAAAGAAACAATAGAGAATAACTCTGAGATATTGGAATGAACAGATTAGACTTTAAAATATCTATTTTAAATGTGTTTGAGAACTTAAAGAAAAATATGGTCACAATGAATAAACAGATGGGTAATATTAACAGAGACATGTAAAGTACAAAAAAGAATCCAATGGGTATTGTATAATGAAGTATTAAAAATGAAATTACGCTAAGTTAAAAAATAATGATAGCGAAGTGAACTTGGAAAATTAATAAGAGCTCTCCATTCTGAAGAACAGAGAAAAAAAAACCTTGGAAAAGAGCCAACAGAGCCTAAGGAACCACTGTTACCCTTCAGGTGAGCTAACATATATTTAGTTGTAGTCCAAGAAGGAGAGAGTAGAAAGAATGGGGAACAAATAATATTTGAAAATATTGGAAATGCTAAAAATGTCCAAAATTTGGTGGAAAACACAAACTTAACAGATCCAAGGAACTCACTGAACTCAAGAAAGATACATACAAAATAGGCCATATTTAGGTTTTACATAGTAAATCTGCTAAAAGTCAAAGAAAGAGAAAAAAATCTTGAAAGCAGCCAAAGAAAAATGACACAATGTATACTGAGAACATTTATATGTGTGATCACTAACTTGTTTGTAAAAAGAGTGGAGACAAGAAGACAGTTGAAAATATCTTTTAAAAAAACTGTCAACCCAGAATCCCAGAATTCTATATCCTTCAAAAATGATGGCAAAATGAATAATTTCCCAATAAATACATATTGAGGAAATATGTTGCCAGGAGGTCACAACTTGAAAAATGCTGAAGAATTTTTTTTTTCAAGCTGAAGGAAAGTGATTCCTTTTTTTTTCTTTTTTTTAAAATTTAACTTAATTTTATTATGTTATGTTAGTCACCATACAATACATTATTAGTTTTTGATGTAGTGATCCATGATTCATTGTTTTTGTATAATACCCAGTGCTCCGTGCAGTACATGCCCTCCTTAATACCCAACAGCAGGCTAACCCATACCCCCACCACCCGCCCCTCTAAAACACTCAGTTTGTTTCTCGGAGTCCATAGTCTCTCATGCTTTGTCTCCCCCTCCGATTTCCCCCCTTCATTTTTTCCCTTCCTTTTCCTAATGTCCTCCATGCTATTCCTTATGTTCCACAAGTAAGTGAAACCATATGATAATTGACTTTCTCTGCTTGACTTATTTCACTTAGCGTAATCCCCTCCAGTCCCATCCGTGATGATGTAAAAGTTGGGTATTCATCCTTTCTGATGGCTGAGTAATATTCCATTGTATATAATGGACCACATCTTCTTTATCCATTCATCTGTTGAAGGGCATCTCACCTCAGGAAAGTGATTCCTGATAGAATATCATATCTACAGGAAGAAATGACCAGCACTGGGAATGGTAAATGGGTAAGTATAAAAGACTATATATTTTTTCTTCTCATAATTTATGTAATAGATATATGACTGTTAAGCAAAATTAATATTGTGTGGGGTTTATAACAAACATTGATGTACTATATAGTACAATGATATCAAAAAATAAGCAGAGGAAGGCAAATGGAGCATTTCTGTTGCATGGTTATTGTATTTTACGTGAGGTGGTGCTATGTAAACTCCAACTAGACTGTGATAAGTCAAGATTATATAATGTAATCTTTGGAGCAAGTACTAAAATATAATGCGTAGAGGTGGAGCTGAAAAGCCAATATCAGAATTAAAATGGAATAATACAAAAAATGATTAACCCTAAAGAAGGCAGAAAGGGAGGAAGAGAGGAATTAAAAACAAATGAGACAAATAGAAAAATAATGGCAAAATGATAGACCTAAAACCAATCATATTAATAATTACATTAAATGTAAATAAATTGAACACTCCAGTTAAAAGGCAGAGATTATCAGGCTGGATTAAAAAAGCAAGACCCCACTATATTCTTTGTATAAGAAATGACTTTAATGTAAAATACAGATGGTTTGAAAGTAAAGGATGAAAAAAGATATACCATTCTTTATCAGGTAGATTACTTCTCTCCATTTTATTGAAGTCTTTTTCTGAGGTTTTGTCTTGTTCTTTTGTTTGGAACATATCTCTCTGCTTCCTTATTTTGCCTGACTCTCTGTGTTTGTTTCTTTGTATCAGGCAAAACAGCTGTCTGTCTCCAGGCTTGAAGGAGTGGCCTTGTGTGGGTGGCGAACTTCATTGTTCAACCTTGCCTTAGCTCTTGGTTGTCTATTGAACCTTTGTGATTGTCTAAGCAGCCTGACTTATTCGTGTTTTTTTTTATGTTATGTTAATCACCATACATTCCATCATTAGTTTTTGATGTAGTGTTCCATGATGCATTGTTTGTGCATAACACCCAGTACTCCCTGCAGAATGTGCCCTCTTCAATACCCATCACCAGGCTAACCCATCCCCCCACCCCCTCCCCTCTAGAACCCTCAGTTTGTTTTTCAGAGTCCATCATCTCTCATGGTTCGTCTCCCCCTCCGATTTCTCCCCCTTCATTCTTCCCCTCCTGCTATCTTCTTCTTCTTCTTTTTTTTTTTTTAACATATATTGCATTATTTGTTTCAGAGGTACAGATCTGTGATTCATCAATCTTACACAATTCACAGCACTCACCATAGCACATAACCTCCCCAATGTCTATCACCCAGCCACCCCATCCCTCCCATCCACCCCCACTCCAGCAACCCTCAGTTTGTTTCCTACAATTAAGAATTCCTCATATCAGTGAGGTCATATGATACATGTCTTTCTCTGATTGACTTATTTTGCTCAGCATAATACCCTCCAGTTCCATCCACGTCGTTGCAAATGGCAAGATTTCACTCCTTTAATGGCCGCATAATATTCCATTGTATATATATACCACATCTTCTTTATCCATTCATCTGTCGATGGACATCTTAGCTCTTTCCACAGTTTGGCTATTGTGGACATTGTAAGCAGCCTGACTTTTTTTTTTTTTTTTTAGATTTTATTTATTTATTTGACAGAGAGAGACACAGCGAGAGAGGGAACACAAGCAGTGGGAGTGGGAGAGGGAGAAGCAGGCCTCCCGTGGAGCAGGGAGCCCGATGCGGGGCTCGATCCCAGGACTCTGGGATCATGACCTGAGCCGAAGGCAGACGCTTAACGACTGAGCCACCCAGGCGCCCCAGCCTGACTTATTTTTGATGGGTCCATGTACCAAGACCTGTCAGTGTTCCAAGGGAAGGAATATCAGTTAGCACCTAGTTTCAGGTTGATTAGAAGCCAGACCCTCAGGCAGCAGCTTTTAAAGTATGCAAATATATGTAATCCCATGGGATTGCAAATGTAAATCCTGCTGGCCTCCAGACCAGGAGATGTGATGGTATCCCCTGAGTAACACTTGCAAAAATCAGGGCTCCAGATGGGTGTCTAAGCTTTTTCCTGGGGAGTACCAGCAAGCTGTAGCCAGGCCAGGGGAGCATGTAAGGAGGGTATGTCTCCCTGCCTAAGTTTCCTGAGAGCTCTTCTGTGGTCTCTAGATTTGTGGCCAGCCTGACACCTGTCCCTCAGGCTGGGGATTCAGGACAAGTAAATGGGCCTTTTGCACAGGAAGACTGAGGATGTGTTTCAGTCTACTGTCTGTGCAGTGCTCTGAGGGTGGCAGCCAGCTAAGAATTGTCTTTCCTGTTGTTATAGTCCCGTGGAGTCCAGGAATGCCAGCCTCCCTGGCCACCAGGGCCAGGAAATCACGGGGGCATTTCCCGTGTGAACTGCAGTTGCCTTCCAACTTCAACGATGGAGGGGGAAAGCATGGCAGGCAGGGTGTGCCCACCGACTTGAGCATGGCAGCAGGAGAATGCCTTGTCTGTGCGTGCCCACTAGCTTCAGGGAGGCAGCAAAAATAGGCTATGTCTGCACATGCCCACCAGCTCCAGCAAGGCAGGGGGAGAATGCCATGATTGTTCAGACCCTCTGGCCCCAGCAAGGCAGCGGGAGTGTGTGGTTGAACTGCACATGGCCACCTGTTTCAGTAAAGCAGTGGGAGAGTGCCACGTCTGTACCTGCCTGTCTATGCTAGCAGGGTCAAGAGAGAACGCAGAAAGGGTGCTCGCCAGCGTTTCTGTCTCTGGAGACAGTCCCAGTTGTCCCCTGCCCTCTGGCCGATGCTTTAATATTAATAAACGAAGCTCCATCACAGGTGTTCTAGGTAGGTGCTTTCCAAACTGCTGCTTTGGCCCTGGGTTCCGGGGGTGAGTGAGACCACACATGAGTCCTTTAAAAGGAGTATCTCAGTTCCCTATAGCCCTTTGGGTCCCTTGAACCTCAGTCCTGTTGGTTTTGTGAGCCAGATGTTTTGGGGGCTTGTCTCTCCAGGGCAGGGCCCAAAGTTTGGGGTGCAAGGTGGGGGGAACAAACCCCTTACTCCTCCAGGAGAGAGTGCAGACTTGGGGTGTCACCACATCACGGGAGGGGTTTTGGTAAGACCATGTCTCTGCCTCCCCAACGCATCTCGATGTGGTCCTCTTATACTTTGTTGTGGTGGAGCAGTTCAGTTCATTTCTAGTTCTTTTTTTTTTTTTTTTAAAGATTTTATTTATTTATTTGAGACAGAGAGAATGAGAGACAGAGAGCATGAGAGGGAGGAGGGTCAGAGGGAGAAGCAGACTCCCTGTCGAGCAGGGGGAGCCCGATGCGGGACTCGATCCCGGGACTCCAGGATCATGACCTGAGCCGAAGGCAGTCGCCCAACCAACTGAGCCACCCAGGCGCCCTCATTTCTAGTTCTTTATCGGAGGGAAGTGTTCCGCATGTAGCTGCAGATTTGGTGCCTCTGTGGGAGGACATGAGCTCAGGATCTTCCTGTGCCTGACCCAAGGACAGTCTTGATTTTGGTGTTGCCTGAAGATGCTCTCTGTGCCCCACTCTATCGTGTCCTGTGTTGCCCTTGTCACCAAGTCTGGTGGTAGCTGAGATGGCTATGCTGCTTCAGACCCCTCGCCTGTTATTTTTTTTAAAGATGTTATTTATTTATTTGACAGAGAGAGAGAGAGCATGAGCATGAGCAGGGGGAGGACCAGAGGGAGAGGGACAAGCAGACTCCCTGCTGAGCAGGGACCCCCCCCCCGCAACACCCCCTCCGATGTGGGGCTCGATCCCAGGACCCTGAGATCATGACCTGAACCGAAGTCAGACACTTAGCCACCTGAGCCACCCAGGCGCCCCCAGCCCACTCACCTTTAAGTGCCGAGTTAACCCTTGTTCAAATGGCAAAGTGCCCAGGGTGGTGCGGCCGCATACCCCGCAGGTTTGGCTCACCGTGGGCCCCCGGCAATGGCAGGTGGTGCTCTGGTTCCTTATCCTTCCAACCAGGATGACGCTGCTCCTTGCTTCGGTGTCTCAGCTCGGGCAGCCGTGGCACCAGGAGCCCAGGTGCCTTGCGGTTAAGGGAGTTCATTTCAGAGACACTTGGGACTGATGAGAACTCACAACCTCCCCACTGGGCTGAAACATGGCTGTCAAGTCACTTCCTCTACCCAGCACCCTTTAATTTAGCAGGGGGCCCAGGGCCCCACTGCTCAGTAATTTCCCACCCATTCCTCACCTGCCATTATCCACTTTCACATATAATTGCTCCTTTCATCCTCCCACCAGGTATTTGGGGTAGGTATTACTGAATCCGTGACAAGAGTAATAGTAATCACAACAACGGCGTATATCGGGGGCACCTGGGTGGGTCATGATGCTAAGAACATCATGTTACTCCTGTCAGTTCTCCCAGCCGCCCTGGAAGGTGGCATTCTCGACCCCCCTCCGCGGGCCCCCCCTCCCCCATTTAACAGATGAGAAACCTGAGGCACAGAGAGTTTAGGTAACTTTCCCGAAGTCACATAGCTATTGGAAGTAAGGGGACAAAAGTTTGATCCCAGGTGGTTGGTGTTGAAAGTGGAGAGGCTTGTCAGAAGGGCTGGTCTCAGGTACTGTGGGGGAGGGAATCTCCATTGTCATGCTTTCTCTTCTGCTGGAGGCACCTGCCTTCCTGAGCATCTAAGCCACTGGTTCACTTCCAGGCCAGCTAAGGCTCCTGGAGGCTACTATCCCGTCCTCACTGCAGGACCTGCTCTCCTGCACCCTGCACCCTCCTCTGTTCCCAGGGAAGAGTCTGCATGTCTCCCTAGTGAATGTAAATCCATCAAGAATCCTTCCAGGGTTTTTGTACCTTCAGCCCCTCCTCTCTCCTTGGAGAGCACAGGCCCCGGGGGGTTGATGGATCCAGGAGTAAATCCCTGTGCAACTTCCTATGTAACGTAACCCTCGTTTTCTCATCTAGAAATAGAAATGATGTCTGCCGCAGAGGGCTAGTACAAAGATTAAATTTGGATGATGTACCCCAAACAGCAGCTCCTGTGCCCAGATTTCCTTTTCTTCTACTCCTCTGCTCCCCTCCTCCCTTAGGAATTTCATGCATTTGGACAAGGGAAGGAAATCTTTGGAGAGACAAGGGGGATAGTCTACCAACTCTAATATGTTATCAAGGCAGGCTTCTTCTGATTGGCAGAAGGTTATGGCGCATGTGTGTATCTGTGTGTGCGTGTGCTGGTGTGTATGCACACGGGTGTGCTGGAGATGGGATGGGAGAAGAAAACCCCAGGAAAGTAAAAATGAGGAAAACCAGAGCAGGAAATGGGAAGCTTGAAGATCCTAAGATTATATGTAAGTCACTGTTATAGATAGACTGGTCACATGCGTGTACTTGGGAAAATCTTTTTTTTTAGAAGATTTTATTTATTTATTTGATAGAGAGAGAGAGAGACAGCGAGAGAGGAAACACCAGCAGGGGGAGTGGGAGCTGAGCAGGGAGCCTGATGCCGGACTGATCTCAGGACCCTGAGATCATGACCTGCGCCGAAGGCAGATACTTAACGACTGAGCCACCCAGGCGCCCCTATTTGGGAAAATATTTATACTAATAAGCTTAAAATGTATCTAAGGAAAGGGGGAGTTAGCTATTATTTGAGTGAGATTTGGTCTCACTATCAGATTAGGGAGAAGATTATCTGAGCTAAGTATTAGGAAGCATGGAGAAATGTGATCCTTCCAATACTTCTAGCTATTAACCTCCATCCCTCCAGATTTTTGCCAGGTCCGGGCGCTACGTGTACAATTCAACATCGACTCGTTTTTAAACTTTAAACTTCATCACGAACATTAATACCTGAGAAAACATAGTTTTATTATGCTAATTTGTTACTTTTTTGGTAATATAGGTTGAAATATAACCTGTCTATTGAAATTTAAACTGCCACCAAAATCATCCCATGTGCCACCAGGGAGAGTGAGACACATTGCAGAGAGCCTGTGACCTGGAGCCAATGAGCCCCTATCTTTCTCTTCATCTCAGCAATGTTGCCGAATGTATGGTCTGTCCAAGACACCCCAGTCCTGGAATTCCCCTCTGGAACCTTTAGACCAAATGTTCTTTCAGTCCCTGCTGGGAAACCCCAGGGTTGTGGAATAGCCCCGTGTGGCAGCCATACAAGTTCAGGGCAGTTCTGTGCCTGTCCCCGTTGAGACTCCTTGAAGCTCTGCCCTTTGCTCCTGGTTCTCACTTTTGGAACCCATTCCTCCTCCACATCCTTGCCAGCCTTGGGGACAGCTGTCACTTACCTCTAGAGGCTGAGTAGAAATGAGCAGGATGGGCTCTCATCTGTTGTGGTTATGACATTTCTACTGGTGATGTCTGTGAAAATAATACATGGCTCTCATTGATGGACACTTCTCTGTGCGAGACGTCATGCTGAGCCCTGAGCACAGGGGACCTCATCATCCTGGCTATGGATGCAATGTTTGTCCACACTTTGAGGGCAATGACATTAGATCGAAAAGACACTTTAGGATATGGGCCATGCTGAAAACTCATATTGGTCTTACCTCTGTCTAAACCCCCAAGCCTTTGCTCTGTCAACACTGTTTAGCCACGTCTCCGCACCTTATTTTTGCACAGTTGGTGTTGGGGATCCTGGGGAAGGAGCTTCCACTTGGCTCTGGTGTATTTCATTCTGTAGGATCTGCTCTGGCACGCAAGACTGCGGAATCTTTCTGGATCCCAGCTATGTCATATGACATATTTTTATTTTTCTCAACTGTCATCAGAAAATTTGATGAGCATGCAGCCTTTATGTTCATCCTAGTCATTGATAAAATCGTTGACTAGGAAAGAGCCAGGGACTGAATTCTCTGGATGATGTTACACATCAGTGTCAACTTATTACCACCCTTTGCATACTGGCATTATAGTAGCAATTAAGTCATCCTAATTGTCCATGCCTACACTTATTTCACCATCTTATCCACGACATACTAGGAGAATCTTGGGTCTGGGATTATGGGGATTTGAGGGAAGGTGTGCTGTAAAGGGTTAGCCTTGCCCAAAGAAAGGTCTGGCTCTTGCCCAGCTCCTGAAAGGTAATCTCTAAGTCCTTGGAATGTCCTGGCTTGATAAGAGTGTTTTTGTTTGCCTGGAGGCCTTGGGCCATGGTAGATAGTCTATACCAACAATATGATTTAGGGGAGACCTCAGGCCACATGGCATTAGCTTGACCTCTGGAGGAGCTAAGGTCAGCCATGTCTACACGACCAACCCCCAGGAAAAACGCTGGACAGCAAGGCATGGGTGAGCTTCCCTGGTTGACAATGTAGTTGGAAGGACAAGGAGGCAGCATCTGCATGACTCTTCTGGGGGGAGGAAAACTGGAAGCTCATGCCTGGTCTCTCCTGAACCCTGCCCTACGTGCCTCTTCCCTTTGCTGATTTTAATCTGCATCCTTCTATGATAATAAACAGTAACTAGTATAATGGCTTTTCTGAGTTCTGTAAGTCCTCCTAGGGAATCACTGAATCTGAGGGTGGTCTTGGGGATCCCTGAATTGCAATAGGAATCTCTGGACCATATTAAATGGTCTTTGAAGCCAGAGGACTGAGTTCTAGCTCAGCTTCTGCTTGGGTCTGCCTGTGGCTTCCCTAAATGCCTCCCTGGTAATGTACAAAGAGAAGCAAGTAGGAGGGCCTTTCTCTTCTGTACAAGCTAGCCTCCTCCTTGGCCTGCCCCAGGGCCTGACCTTCCATTGTTGGCTGCCCCATGTGGTTTAATGGGCACTCATTTCAATCTACTGTGGGTGAGATAGTGTATTATCCAAGCTTGGGTCTCGGCTCCTGTCTTTTAGAAAATTCCCTGCTAAAATTCAAATACTAATGGGAAAGCACACACTAAGCTGCTATCACCCATTCATATTCAGATTAAATTAATCAGTCCACAAACAGAAATGGACTCTCATTAAGATGGATTCCAGAAAAGAGAGGTTTGGATGCAGACACGTCTGGGGTTTTCTCATCCAGTTTGTGAGAGAAGAGGTTTCTGCTGAGGGGAGGGTGGTACGAGCAGAGTTGCTGGAGTCCCCACAGGGCAATGTTGAGCTGTGAGTGTTGGGGGACCAAAGGAGGAGTGTGTTGAAGCAGACTGATGGAAAGCTGAAAACAAGCTAGGGGCGAGCCCTAATTTTGTTAGAAAACCAGAGAACACAAACCAGAACTTTATTCCTAGTCTAGCATCCATGTGTCTCTGTGTGGGCAAGTGGGTGATGGTTCTCTAGAGGGTGGAGCTTTGTCAGGGGTGATGGGGAAATGGACCCAACCTGGGCATGGGGCACAGGTATGTCTCCAGAGAAAGAAGGAGTACATCCCTTTCCCAGGGATCTTACTGGAAACAAGGTTCATGGTGCTGCAAGGGAAAGGTATCATTAAGAAGAAGAGGGTGATTCCTTTCTGTGTAGGGTTTTTGCCTCACTCTGTGCTACACAATTCCAGTGAGCTGAACCAAGAAACCCTTTCAAATGGGGACAATTTTACTTGAATGCTAACATAAGGGAGTATGACCACAATCCCTGTAGTTTGTCATCAGAGGTCATTTTTATGAATTCTCACTATGAGGGTGGTTTTTATTTAAACTGTTCTTTAGGGGCGCCTGGGTGGCTCAGTTGGTAAAGCGGCTGCCTTTGGCTCAGGTCATGACCCCAAGGTCCTGGGACCGAGCCCCACATCGGGCTCCTTGCTCTGTGGGAAGCCTGCTTCTCCCTCGCCCACTCCCCCTGCTTGTGTTCCCTCTCTCGCTGTGTCTCTCTCTGTCAAATAAATAAATAAAATCTTTAAAAATAAATAAATAAACTATTCTTTAGGTATATATAGTGAGGTTTCATTCCTCCCAACCCTCCCGTTTCTTTAATCTGTAGTCAAGGAGCATGGAGTAATCTGCCCTTAAGATAATCACACGGGACCTGCGAGGATCATAGATCATGTGCCCTGAAAAGTTCCACCTCTCACAGAAGGTGGAAATCCTTAGGAGTCTTTATTCCTTCCCTCCTGTCATTGAAGCTGGTAGGAAGTGTAAGGAGAAAAGAGGGGCTCAAGCACCACCACTCCCCAAGTAAACACAAAATGTTATAATCAGTTCCTGGCATGAAAAGTCTTCACATTTAAAGCCATTAAGAGTGGAAGTTTCTGGAGGACAGGAACTGCATGAACTTGTCCTTGAATCTGAGGGCTCGGCCAGGCCTGGCATTGAGGAGGGAATGACCAAGATACTGCCTGACTCTTGACTCAGGACTTCGGGACATGAAGCCAAGGGGGATCAAGAAATGAAAACTCTCTTTCCTCCATCACCACAACGTGCTTGGGCCACTGCTGGCTGAATGCCTTGAGGCTCACGAAAACTCCCCCAAACTCGGCTCGAGGGTGTTGGCCATGAGCCAAGGCCTTTCTGTCTAGCTGGGCTCTCGGGCGGCCACAAACCTCAGGGAGCTCACTCTCCAGTTTCACACGCTGGAGTTGTGCTGTGAGTCTGCTGGGCCCCTGTTGTGGGGTTAAAAATCGTCAGACATCACACACACCGGCTGCTCCTGGCAATGTAATCAATACGGTCAAAACAGGGGCTTCCCAAACTTCAGTCCTCCAGTAATTTTGTTCACCAGCTGTGAATCCTCTGGGGATCTTGCGAAAATGCAGATTCTGATCCAGGAGCTCTGGTCGGGGGGAGGGGTGTCAACAAGCTCCCCTGTGATGCCCCCAACCATGCTCTGAGATGCCAGCCCCTAAGGGCCACCCAGGTGTTGACACGGGGAGGAGGATTAGGTGACCAGTTAGCCGCTAAAACCCTTCTCACACACACAAGCGGAAGGCCCAGAAAGAGATCATGGATCCTCCCCTGGGTCTCGACGAGACTCAGCCAGGGCCGGCTCTCCAAGCTCCATTACCTGGGTCACGTGCTCGCAGCCGCAAGAGGCCGGGTAGTGTCACGGTCAGTGCCCAGCTTCGGTGCCAGCTTGCCTCTCCGTGAGCTGTTCCTAGGGCTCAACATGGCCATGCCTCGCTTCGGTCATTTGTAAAACGAAGATGGGGCAATAACAGCATGACCTCCATAGGGGGCCGGTGCAAGTTAGCAGGTTACGTAAGGGACCCTGCTGGGAGAAGATGTCTGGTGCTCATTCCCCTCTCGGCCAGAGCTCCAGTCGCTGAGCTGGGGACCTCAGGGGGCTGGGCTTCTGTGCCCTGCCTGCACGGTTGTGCAAGCACTCTTGGGTCTCCTGTTACCCGGGAGCCGGCAACAGACCAAAATAAAGGGAGGGGACGAGCGGGGAGGGCCGAGCGAGCCTCCACAGGGAGCCTGACCAGGTCAGCTGGGAATGCCTGTCAGCCCTCCAGGGTGGCTCCTGCGTGGGCCTGGAGGTGGGTGAGTGACTCACGCTGGTGCCCTCTCCACCCCCCACGCCCAAATGCTCAGCCCTCCCTGGCCCGGGGCTCACCTAATCCCCGCTGTGGGAGTCGGGGGGCCTTTGCGCCTGAGCCGAGGGCTAGGGTTGCACCACGGTGACTTCACACGCAGCACCATGTGCAGCTGAGCCTCCGTGCAGCAGTTCTCCCGCGAGGTGGGCAGCGAGCTCAGTCTGGCAGCCGCCGCCTCCCTCCAGCCCCGGTCTGGCCGCAGGCAGCCGCTGCCCCAGGACCAGCGAGGGGATGGCCGAACAGGAAGCCAGTGGGCTGCAGGTCCTGCTGCGCACGCTTCAGGTAGGAAGAGGTGGAGGGGAGCGCAGCCCGGCAGGCTCGGGCTCTGCTGGCCAGGCTGCCTCGGGGCTGGGCTCCCGCAGTCCCCTCTGGCACCGATGGCCGGTTTGCCAACCAGGGAGAGCAAGGCACGGGAGCCAGGAGCAGCTCTCACCTTGAGGCTGACCTAAGTGATGCTATGGTCTTTAAATATTAACTACCACGGTGTCGATGAGTGTGCTCTGCTTAAATTATTGAACCTGGTGGGATTAGAGGCTTGGGCTGAAAGATCCGGGTTTGCTAGAGATGGGAAAGATGGAGAAAATAAGACCTGGCAGGAGCCATGCTAGCAATGCCTAGAACAGCCTGGAACAAAAGGGGGAGCCGGGAAGAGGACCCCTCTGGGCTTCTCCAGCTACATGGCTATTGCAGGGGCCCCAAAGAGGGGTCTGCAGCAGGACTGCCTAGGATTCATGCTAAGCATGTATCCTCCCAGTGGGATGTGGCCAAAAGGAATCGGAATCACCAGAGCCAGGGGCCTAGGAATCTGCCTCCTTCTGGGGGATCCTGTTCATTCCTGATTTGGAGAATTCTTGTCCTAGAATAGTAGTCTGCAAACTTGTCTTCACACTAGAATCACCTGCAGGGTGTTAAAAAATGGTTACATCTTGGACCCATTCGCTAAAATTTGGATTTAATTGGTCTGGGGAGTAACCTGAGCACTGGAAGTTTGAAAACTCCCTAGGTGGATTCAATGTGCAGTTAAGGCCCAGAACCACCGCTCTAAGGCTTGGGTAGATGCTTGCACTTAACCCATTGCAGGGAATGCCCCACAGGGGCTGAAGAGGTCTTATGCTACAGGATTCTGGACCTGAAGTCCATGGACAGGCCTCATAAGAGGATGGGCTTCAGGGGTCCTGTGACCCCACCCCGATTCAGAATGTAAATGTTTTGTACTGACATTCATCTTACCCTGTTATGTAGTTTTCCTCTGATCCTTAAGGAAATCTTTATCCCTAAAAAATTTAAGAACCAATAAATCCAGCCTTCCAGTGGTGGACAAAGAAACCGAGTCTCCGAAGTAAAATAGCTTCCCCAAGGTCATGAAACTACTTGATAGAGAAACTGGGACTCGTACAAAAGAACTTCTATATCCGGTTGACTTAGTGTCTCTTGACCCCTTCTATCCAGTGCATAAAAGGCAAGAATGCATCTGGGCTAGAAGTGTTGAGGGGTAGGAGTGGACCTCAAAATAAATTTGCAGTTGGGCTGGAAGTCACTGCAGGTCCATCTCAATCTCCTGTATTCCCACCAGTGGGGATTTATAATTGATATTTAGAATGATCACTCCAGGGCAATGCAAGATTCTCAATCATCAAAGAAAGATTTAATTATGTTCAATATACCCTACTTAGTTCCCAATTAACCAGAACATTAAACTAACTGGAACATGCTTCCCCTGTGCGCTTCACTGATCAGAATGTAGTTGTTGAATTGATTTGGGTTCCTGGCCCAGCCCTCTCCAAGTGTCTCCATGAGCCCTGTTCCTGTCTTGGCAGTGGATGTCAGAACTCTGACATACTTTAAAAAAAGAGAACCCAAAGCCGATATTCTGTGGAATGATGTTTCACTATAGGTTTGATGCTCTACCCTCGAGAGCCACTGGGTTTCTGAGAAAAGTTTCACCAAAATTCTTTCAACTGGGGAATCCCAAAGTTCTTACTTGTTCAAGCTAGTCCCTCCTTCCTTGTGCACAAAGGGGATAGGAGCTTTGTATTGCTTCTCAGACCTCTGAGGAAGACAGTGGTTACGCATGAGCAGGATATGAGCTGAGGATGAGTTCCTTGTGTCTTTCAGGAGCACCCCAGAACATTGCCAAGGGAAGGGAGAGAGAGAGCAGGAGAACAGACAAACAGACAAAGCAAGCACGAGGCTGACAGATGTCCCTGTGATAGGATAGTAGAAATCCTCATGCCAGAGTATCACCACTTCTGCCTTTTCGGGACACAATAACAAAATAAACCCGGTCATGAAGAAATCATCCATTTCCACATATTACCTTTTGTTGTGCAGTTGAGGAAAGGGGGAAGTGATTTTTTCCCACCTCAGTTTACACACAGCTTACCTCTGTCCTGAAGGTATGAGAATCAGATTTTCACCCAGACATTTTTCAAGTTCCCAACTCACAGCTTGGGTTTGAGCAGAAAATCAGATTGAGTGTCGGGGGCCTGGGCGAGGGAGAGGCAGGGCACAGCGCAGGTGTGAGAGACAGAGAGAACTGGATCCTGTCCCCATTGCTGGCACTTACCAGCTGTATGTACTTCGGCAAGTCCCTCCACCTCTCTGAGCCTTCATTTCTATATCTGTAAAAGGGGGACAATTATACGTTCCTCAGTGCTTTGTGCGAGGATGAAGAGAATCCATTTGACAAGCGTTTGTAAACTATAAATGGCTGTTCACACGACTGTACTTTTTATGATTTCCCTGGTTGAGTGCACAGGGGAGAAGCTGGGAACACTGGTCTACCCCATTCATCATCAACCTGCCCTGCTTTGTTTCCTGGGCAGACTCCAGTATACTTGGAAAAAAAGGAAAGTGTCTCATTCTGTCCTGCTCTCGTCTCTCCATGTGGTTTGAGCTAATGGAGAAGATGGGGAGCTGCCAGGGTAGCAGGATGTGGTCTCCACGCCAGATCTAATGTCGCAAGTCCTCACCCGGCGGCGTCCCACAACATGCCAATTAAGTCCCTTAGTCACACATGAAAAATGTATAATTATTCGGTCAGCTTTGGCATGCTCTGAGCCGCGATGTGGGCACAGTTTTGCTGTTTGCATTTGTACTTTATTATTTTATGTTCTAGCTATTCACACTGAATCTGAGGTCTGCATCTTTGCCAAAATGTGCATCGCGTACTCCTTTTTCTCAACTTGGGCTCCAGGAACATTATCTATTATGGATTGAGAATCAGGCTGCAGGATGTGAAGCTTCCTGCCTCGAGTTAGCATTAAGCCTAGATAATATAAAACCCGGATGGGACAACAACTTCACTTTTTCCCTTGGTCTCCGTCCTCCAAGGATTACTTCCAAGGCAACAACAGGTGATTTCAGCCCCTTGGCTGCAAAGAGGGGGATGAGCGAAAAAAATGGTGATTGATATGTTTCATTCACAATGCTTGGGAATTCTGTTTCCAAAACGTCTGCTTGAAAATTTCCTTCATAGAATTCTCCATGGAGGATGTGGGTATATCCATCTATTGTACATCCATAGGGCCAGGCAGAACAGAAACCGAGCCTTCCCCCTGGACCTAAACAGAAAGGTTTGGACAAATCAAGAGGATTTTAGGTAGCAAGCACTATGTAGACTTTCTAGAGATCACAGAAATGCTCTCTTTTGGGGAGTCTGAGACTGAGGGATTTGCAGAGCCCTACCTCAACCGCAACACAAACATGAAAACAAAATGAAGTCTGTTTTAATTTCAAGCATCAGTAGAAGCAAAGAAAAAGAAAAATCCCATAAGGACAAGTGCCAAATGAGAAAGGGACAAAGTTGGCAAGAATTAGCATCTGTCAGTGTCTGAGGACTGACTTGGTGCCAGTCAAAACGGAGAATGAAAGGGATGGTGGCATGTAGCCGGATGCTGAGCTAGAAGTGGGGAGAAGCCTTTATTTGGTGTTTTGTTTTTCAAGGACCTTTTGCTTTCACCATTCCTTAAGTTCTTTAGAATTAGAGATTGGAACAAAATGAACATTTATTAAGGGTCCACTCTATGCCAAGTTTTCACACTCGTTACTTAACATCGCTCTCTCTGCCACCTGTGAGGGAGGTGTGATTGTTCTGTCTTATAGATGAGGACACTGACCCTCAAGGGTTCATGACAGAAACCTAGAAAATCCCCAGAGGAAGGATGGGAAGTGGATCTTGTCATTCCAAAGTCCTTCCACTGGTCTTTGTTGCTTACGTGACCTAGGGAATGCCCATTCATTCTTAATTTTGAGGGCACTAACTTGACCTGATGGAGCCTGAAGGTTGAGGGGATATGGCTTCCTAACAAAAGAAGAAGGCTTATTTAGAACTAAAACCTTCCAAATCTTGTTTGTTATGCGGATAAATAACTCTTGATAAGAGAAGGTAACACTTTCAATTTGGGTCAACTGGATATTTTCAATATCCATCCCTCTATCTATCTCTCCATCCATCCCTCCCTCCATCCTTCCATATGTCCATCCCTCCCTTCCTCCATCCATCCATCCATCCATCCATCCATCCATCCATCCATCCATCCATCCATCCATCCATAGCTTCTGTGTGCCAGAAGAGATCCAGAGAAGACTATTTGGTAGGATGATGTGTTAAGAAGAGAAGGTCTTTGAATCTTGGCTCAGCCATTCAAAACTTTTGTGACCCAGGACAAACTATTGAACTTCTCTTTACTGAAATTTTTTCATCTGTAAAATTAGCATTATAGTACCAACTCATGGGCTTATTATATGTTTAGAGAAAAATGAATGTAAAAAGGTAAGCATGGTGGTATGTGCCCGATAAATAACAATTACTGTAATTAAACACAGTCCCTGCTCTCATGAAAATGCAATGTTCAAGTGAAAAGGTGGGAGGATAAAAATGTTTGTAGAGTAAGTCTGCATGTGATGAATGCCATGGTAAAGGTAAACATCAAAGCGAATTCTATGGAAGTTGGGAGAAGAAACTCCTCCTGGCTGGAGGTTCACGGAAGGCCTCAGAAAATGGGTCCGATTTCAGCAGGGGAAGGTGTGATTCCCAGAGTGGGGAGGGTACCAGTGATCTTCCTCATGTCAGGAAAGTGTGGAGAGGATTCAGGACTTGCCATGGCACTGAGTTTGAGTAAAACTGGAACTTCATGAAGGGGAAGAAAGGAGATAGAAATGAGAGTTTGCCCAAATGCTGGAAAATCTTGAGTGCAAGCTTCAGATCTAACCAGGCCCTTGGGAATGACCCCCATCTCTAAATGTGGGTGGTGGGGGCCACAGGACAGTTAGCCAAGGCA